TTTAACATGATCATTAAAGTGGTTAATTTTTCATGGATAGATATTTATATAAAATATTGGGTGCACCGGCTGCATCAGCTCAGCATTGATGATGTGGTGCACCCAACCAATATTAAAAGGACACGTGTATTCCCTTCCCCCACCCCCTCCCGTCTCTCCTTCACCCGTTTTTTTTCTTAATTTCTATCTATCTCAAATTAAATCCAAATCAGATTATCTCCCAGAATTCAAGCCACTCTCTCCCACAATGGCCGCTGGAAGAGGAGCTGCAATGGCTATAAATGGAGAAAGAAGCGGGTAAATAATTCTAAGAAGCCGGGAAATAATTGCCCAAAATTAATTTTGACGGTCAATGTTCTAAAATAAAAAAATTATTCCATATTCCCTTGCTCGTTCAGATCAGCTCCCGAAAATGCCATTAGTCAGAGCCTGTCCTCTGATTAATTGCTAAGACTGTATCATGTACAACTCTTAAACAAGCAGCAGAATAATAAAAGAGATGATTGACCATGAAAAATAAATTGTTGGATATTGTTTCCCTGCTTCTTTCTAGATTGATCGACACCCTTCTTCTTCCGGCAGTAATCGTTGACGAATTAGCACGAATTGCAATTTGGATCTGGTTAAAGACAGGAGGATAGAGAAAAGAAATAGGCAGATGGAAATAAAAAAAAAAGGAAAGAGAAAAGAAATAAAACCAGGTGAAGGAGAGAAACAAATTACATACACATGTCCTTTTAATAATGGTTGGGTGTACCACATCATCAATACTGAGTTGGTGTAGCGGGTGCACCCAATATTTTCTCAGATATTTTGAATGTCAATTACCTCCTGCAACCGTGGTTGTAATTAATACCGCTAGCGGAGATTGAAGCTAACTAATTTAGACAAGCAATCGGTAGTGAAATTCGACGTTCCATAAATATTACACACTTAATACCTTAAATCCTCATTAGACACATCATGTTACGTCCTTTTACCAATATTTTGGCCACGCTTTGACCATTAATTTTAAATAAATATATCTCGATCTCATCTGTAGTTAGTGAAATTAAAACTTGAGAAACAACACCCAATGATCGAAAAATTCCCAATATTTATTAAAAAAAAAATTAGGTCACTTTACTGCTGTGAAAGATTAATAATAACTGTTTTTGGTGTAGGAAACATTTAAAAGAAAAACAGTAAAATGTGTTGGGCTTTATGTGGTGGCTCTGTATTGATATCAATTGAAAGATCGCATTACTTTTGTAGTCAAATCTAAGGCTCATTTGGATTGAGAACCAAGTAGTCGATCAAACCATTAGGCACAGCCTTATCCTCAGTGCACGAATATATTATGGCCGCCACCGCCTCATACATTTTGTAACATTTCGTTTTCTTCAGCTGAATCCGTGCAAAAACATACCATGTTCAATATACTTCCAGGCCAGGGTTTAGTAGAGTGTAGCAGAGTTCTACTGACTTCTTTGTTGAATAGATAGGAGTTTTGTAAGTCTTGATCTGTAATATGGTCATAAGTAAAGGGTCTTGATCTGAGGCTTTGATATATTCGAGAGGAGAATCAAGGATTTGTTTAATTACCACATTGTAAAATTCCTTCGTTCTTTTACCAAATTCGGGAGGCCGTATGAGCTGGTCCAGATATTGGAGATCTCTTAGCTCTTGGGATCATTCACGGTTCAGGTTTGTGAGGGTTGATTCTGATTGTGTTATGAGGCAGGTTAAGATCTCCAAACTAACAGTTAAAATTAACCTTGTTGTACAATACGACTAAAATGTCCAAATGGTCCCCTACATTTGGACCTACTTGAATTTACGTCCCTAACATAACATTTCAATATTATAGTCCCAAATATTATGTTTTCAAACTTTTTTGTCTCATTTCACTGTTTCCGGCTATTGACATGCCGGAATTAGGGGTATTTTTGTCTTTTAATTTATTTTGAATTTTTTTTAAAATTTAAATCATCAAAAATATTTTAAAACTCAGATTTCATTATTTAATTATTAAAATATTATTTATTATTATAAAATTTCAAAATTTACATTATTTTCAAAATTAATATTTTCATTTATCATTTATCTTAGGTACAAAGTAAATGGTAATTATGTCGCACTTTTAATGTTGGGACCACTGTAACTTAAAACATTTACCGAGTTACAGTAAATAATGCAAAATTCAATTTTTTTCTTTAAAAAAGAAAAAGAAAAGGCAAAATTAATATTTTTTTTACTTTGACCACTACAGTAAACCCCAAAATAGCAATTATGTTTCACTTTTAATCTTGGGCCTACTATAACTCAAAAAAATAAATCGAAATATAGGAAATAATTCAAAATTTAATTTTATTTAAAAAAAAAAGAGAAGAAAAGCAAAACCAAGATTTTTTTTTTTACTTTAGTTTGACAGCTACAATAAATCCTAAAATGGTAGTTATGTTACACTTTAATTTTAACCTTAGACCCACTATGACTTAAACAATTTACTGAGTTACAGTAAATATTTCAAAAATCAAATTTGAATTTTGAATTTTGAATATTGAATTATTTAATGTAATTCGGTAAATGTTTTAAGTTATATTGGGCCCAATGTTAAAAGTGCAACATAGTTACTATTTAGGGTTTACTATGGTGGCCAAAGTAAAAAAACCTTACTTTGCTGTTTCTTTTTCAAAAAAAAATTTGAATTTTGAATTATTTACAGTAATTCAGTAAATGTTTTAAGTTACATTGGGCAGAAGAATAAAAGTGCAATATAGTTACGACTTACGGTTTACTGTAACGGTCAAAGTAAAAAAATAAAAAAATCTTCGTTTTGTATTTTTGTTTTTTTTTTTGAATTTTGAATTATTTACTGTAATTCGGTAAATGTTTTAAGCTACAGTGGGCCCAAGATTAAAAATGCAACATAATTACCATTTAGGGTTTACTGTAGTCGGTCAATGTAAAAAGAAAATCTTGCTTTTGCTTTTTCTTTTCTTTTTAAAAAAAATAAATTTTGAATTATTTAATATAACTCGATAAATTTTTTAAGTTACACTACGCTAAGGTTAAAAGTGTAACATAATTACCATTTAGAGTTTAATGTAGTGGCGGTCAAAGTAAAAAAAAATCATGGTTTTGCTTTTTCTTTTTTTAAAAAGAAAAATTTGAATTTTGAATTATTTATTGTAACTCGGTAAATGTTTTAAGTTATAGTGGGCCCAAAATTAAAAGTGCAACATACTTACTATTTATTGTGTACCCATGGCAAATAGTAAATAATAAAAGTAATTTTGAAAATAATGATAAATCTTAAAATTTTATAATAATATTTTTAATTAATAAATAATATTTTAACAATTAAATAATAAAATCTGAATTTTAAAATATTTTTCATGATTTAAATTTTAATAGAAATTCAAATTAAATTAAAAGACGAAAATACCCCTGATTTAGGCATGTCAACGGCCGGAAATAGTGAAATGGGACCAAAAAATTTTGAAAACATAATGTTTGGGACTGCGATATTGAAATGTTAATGTTAAGGACGTAAATTCAAGTAGACTTAAATGTAAGAGACCATTTGGACATTTTAGTCTGTACAATACAATCCCATGTTATTGCTGATTTATGGCTTAGAAGAGTTTCAAAAAGGCAGGACTCCTTGTGTAGACTTTCACGATTTTATTTGCTCACGTGGAATGTCTTTGGCTGGTAGAGGAGATCATTTTGGAGATGTACGGAATATAGTTGACTGGGATTACGAGGAAGAAGGCATTTTCTTGTTCGATCTGGATTTGGTAATACAACTTACAAAACATGTGTGAAATGTGAAGAAACAGGGGTTCACAACCACAATAGGAATATGTGCCATCACGAATTCCATATCTTCACACTCCTTTGATGAACAAGAAGCAATTGGAATCAAAATTTGAAGATTCTAAGACTCCGACCGAGTGTGGCTCTCAAACACTGATAGAACGTGATAATAGTTATGAATGATGAGAAAGTGGATAAATATGACTATGTATTTAATTAGTTAGTTAGTGGTTCAATAACACTGTAATCATGTTAACATTTTTTTGAACTTCTCGAAATACCATTCAAGGTGAAAATGTTAATTGTGTCAAACTGAGCCAAAAAGATTAATGTAACTTGTGGATGCAATTTGATCTCTAAATGTCAGTCTAACTAGAAGACCCAAATGTCTATAATTTGAAGCTATCAAGTTACCAGCTACACAGAAATGTGATAAGCGTCCCTTCACTTAATTTCTTTCCCCACAACTCCATGAATATTGTTTGTGTACCGAGCCAATGTATCCAATCGATAAAGAGGTAGTATTTTTTTAATTTATTTTTTTTTGGAAATGGTAGAGGTAATACTGAAGAAATCATATTAATTAAGATGAATGGAGTATATTTCGAGGCAATTACCTCGATTATAAATTTCACCGTGCAACCATGTTTTCAACTCGATCGCTAGTAAAGAAGGTTATACTTTGCTAATTTTGACAAGCAATCAATTGTGAAATTCAACAAACTCAATTTGAAATGTAGTAGATCACTACCGAACCAAATCATTTAATTTGAGACTTGGTCAAGTGACATTTTACTGCATTTTGTCAACCTGCATCATTTCGAACCCAAGACCAGTTTGGATTTAAGACCCTGTAGACAATTTGTTAGGCCTCCTGATTCTTGCCCTGAAGTCGATATAAACACACACTATATAGGTGTATGACTATAACTAAGATGCTGCCTCACCAGAATACAACGAGTGTAACGTTTAACTAATCATTTTCAGTCTAATTAACTTCCACTTCATGATCATGAATACTAGCAAATATTTCATGAAAGAAAATACAACAGAGTTTCACAATCTAGGATGAAAGAGCACATAAACAGCATGGATATTGATCATCCGTATGAGGCCCCTAAAAATCTACTACCACCCCTCATACCCCTTCTACTTTTTAATCCTCTCCTCATTACAAATTCAGTTCTCATCCTTTTTTACTCTTTGACATTTGGGACAGTATTACCCAATTCTCCAGCAATCTCATTTTCATCTTCTGGAATGGAAAGACATGGTATATGATCATCATCATTCACTTCAGAAACCGACTTATGAGCCATTTTTCCCTTAAGCATGTTCAGTACTCCTTCCAGAGCAAGATCAGCATCCTCACTTCTCATAAGTTCCTCTGCAACCTCAGCTGGTGTCACCTCACGACAACCAATCAAGCTCTCGATTTTGTCGAAAATCCCGGGGTTGTAATCCTTGCCGATGCCTAGATAATTCGAGACCAATTGTCTAAGACCGTGAACCGTACAATAGGACATATGAATCTGCATATCCATCCGACCAGGGCGGAGCAGGGCAGGATCCAACTTGTCCTTGTGATTGGTAGTGAATATGATTATTCTTTCATCTCCAACACTAGACCACAGCCCATCTATGAAATTCAACAGTCCAGAAAGTGTTAACTTGGAATTTCCATTGCTACCTAGCTGCCTTTCCTGCATCTCAACACTGCAATCAATATCTTCGATCACAATAATGGATCTATGGATCTGTTGGTGGTAGAAATCATAATCCTCCTCAATTCAGAGTTGGAGTGGAGACTTGTGAGCTCCAAATCATAAATATCAAACTTCAGATGATTAGCCATGGCTGCAATCAAGCTTGATTTTCCTGTTCCGGGCGGGCCATACAACAAATACCCTCTCTTCCAAGCCCTCCCAACTCTCCTGTAATAATCTCTTCTCTTTAAAAACCTCTCCAAATCGTCCATTATGGCCTTCTTCATCTCTGGCTCCATAGCCAGGGTTTCAAAGCTGGCTGGGTGGTCCAAAGTAATGGACCCCCAAAACCCGTTACCATCTTCATCAATGTAAGGACAATCCCTCGTGTAAAGCTTAATTACCTTCTCACTATCCTTAATTTCCTCGGCCTTTTGCAATACAAAAGGCAAATATTCATCCATGACGGTGTCTCTGTACTTCTTGTTGAAGCTGAGCTCCAGGTATCGTCTGGTCTCCGGTGCGTTAACGGGGTTGTCGTTTTTGGGCTCCAGCGAGACGAAACGCCACAAAGTGTTTAGTAGCACTAGCTAGCTAGTGCGATTTAGTCGTCGCGCGCTGCGCGCGCGGCCATTTTGACCGTTAATTCGTTAAATGCGTTATTTTGAAAAGTACATCGAAATTTCACAATTTTAGTAGTAAAATAGAATTTAACATTTCAACAAAATGGTCCTTTACATTTAGTAGTGCGATTATGCTCAACTGATCCTTTACATTTCGCAAAAAAACTTATTTTGGTCATTTACATTAACAATTCTCTGGTTTTGGTCTTTTACTGGTTTGTATTTTACACTAATTTAGTTCTTTTTACTTTTTTGGCCCTTTGCATTTGGGGTTCTTAGATTGACCATTTTTTATTAAGTTAACATGGATATTTTCGGTAACTTTTAATTTTCAAATTTACGAAAATACTAAAAAACCAAAAATTGAGTGACATAATGCTAAACATATTATATTCATTTTATGATTAATTACTAAAAAATAAAAAAAAAATTAGAAATTCAAGATTACAAAAAAATCCAAAATCTGGGTTATTATTTTTTTCATGTGGATTCCACATGTGATTTCTTCTTTACCCCTAATCTGTAATTTATTCTTCTCTCACTGATCAAACACCCAACCCAATTCCCAAACCCCGGCCCTGCAAATCTTAGAAATGGTCAGGGAGAAAAAAAATTACGGATTAAGGGTAAAGAAGAAATCACGCGTAGGGTTCACATGTAAAAAAATTAATTATAAATTTAATATAATACGTTTAACACAAAAGAAAATGTTTAACATTATTTTAACCACTTTTTGGTTTTTTAAGTATTTTTAAAAATTTGAAAATTAAAAGTCACCGCAAATACCCTTGTTGAGTTGACCAAGAAATTTTCAACGGAGAACCCCTAGATGTAAAGGGTTAAAAAAAGTAAAAAGGACTAAATTAGTGTAAAATACATATGTAAAGAACCAAATTATTGAATTGTTAATGTAAAGAACCAAAATAAGTTTTTTTCCCAACGTAAAGGACCATTTGAACAGTTTACTCCTATCTAAAATTTAGAAGCTATTCATGCATGAAATAAAATATTTGATACGTTTTTAATAATTTACTCAATAAAATACTCGTTCATATTTTTTCGTTGAGGTAAGTAAAAAGATATGTTATCATCTGTTCTATTACATCTCACGTTAACCTATTCACAATCAAAAAGCCTTAGATATGTGAGGAGTAATACTAATTTTATCCCATGTAAAATAATAATAATAATAATAACCACCACAATAATAATTACGAATAGTACTGTCTTCTTCCTAAAAATAATATATGACCAAGGGAATAACAAATTTAACAATACATATGCAGAAACAATGAAAAAAGAAACAAACAGTAAAAGCTCTATAAATTAATAGTGTTGGGCTCACAAAAATTTATAAATTACAAAGCTTTATATTTTATTGATAAATTAAAAATTATTATTTATCGATAAATTAATATCTCATAAATTTAAAGGGTTAGTTTTTAATTATATTAAGAAATAAAATACTCAACTTCAACCCTACTTCTCATATATAATTGTGTTCCATTTATTTTTAATTACGGGTTGGAGAGAAATCATAGATCAAATTTTCTCAAATGTTAATTTCAAGAAAGAGCAAAAGTCAATAGCCTCCTACTTCCATAAACATTCTTAGTTTCTTGTGTTTATTAATTTATGATTTTCAAGGGATTTATATTTATGAAAAAAATTTTAAAAAATTATTATCTTAATAATTTATCGGTTTTATTTAAATTTTCTACTTGTCCCCGAGAAAATTTATTATTCAATAGATTTTATAGAGTATTACTTTAGGAAGCTTTTACTATATCGCTCTTATACCCTACCTAGCCCAAACAAGAAGAACTTATAGTCTTATATTTTAACTGACTCAATCTGTCATATCCCTGGACTTAATTGTAAAGATTAGAAATTATAGGGGTCAAATTATAGTTTTTATGTCTTATGGACTATATATAGTCAGCTAGGGGTGTAATTGAATTATCAAAAACTTTGACAGATTGGATATTTTCCAATTTTCTCTCTTCTTCGTTCTTCCCCGATTCAATCCCTAAAATCTTCCGGCCTCCAACTATTTTTACCGTTCTTTTTTTCGGCCACCCCGAAAGGCCCGCAGGTCGTGACACAATCATTTTTGTAGCCCAACGCTGGTTTAGAAAGAAGACCAAGTAGTCAATCCGTTTAGCCCTTTGTGTCTTTACCCTAAAAACAAATACTTTAAAACCAATGAAAGAAAATTCCATTTGCCAGCCACTGCCGAATAAGAAAGATCTTTTCCACATTTTCACTTCTTTTCCACTACAACAAAAATGAGTAGTTTAGACACTTTTTTTTGTGTCTCAATAAGTGGTATAATAGGACACATGTGATTCACATTGCGTGAGACACTAGTAAATAGTGTCTCTTATAATCGAGTCACAATAAGTGATAAAACATTTGAAAGTGTATTATTAGATTGTCACTTATTAAGACACTTTAAAGTAATCCATTAAGTAAGGTAATAGTTCACAAGCAACCCCACATAGTATACTTATGATAGTGTTTCATAATATGCGTACACTTTTTCATTTTTAATAAGACACTTTTTAACAAATGTCCTAATGCACATATAATGAGACACATTTTAGAAAATGTGTCCTACTATAAAGGTATTAATAGCCCATTTTTGTTGTAGTGTTCAAGTTTCAGCTACCTTTTCCAAAAAAAAAAAAAGTTTCAGCTACATTTGAGTGAAAATTTAACGCCGGTATCCTGGACTTGTAGGGTTAAGCAGAGCGTTCAGAATCCTGAGCTATAGAGATTGATGAGTTTGCCAACTTTGATCTGAAATATGGTCAACTAACGTTGTTGTATGAGGCTTTAAATTCAAGGGGAGATCATCTCATCTAACGGATCTGAAAAATTAACCATATGTTTTTTAGTGCCGCCATTGCCAAATTTATGAATCTTATGAATTCAGATGGCTTGAAAAAAGCATGGGTGTCATTGTCTTGAAGTTTATTATTGTAATTTTGTGGTCCTGATGAAGATGCACCAAAAGATAGTTGTTGCTTTAAGAGAAACAAGCCATCAATTATTGCAAATGCTCCACCTGGATTTGGTAACACAACTTAGAAATAAGGTCCCATATCTCAGTTTAGCTGGCGGTGATATCCGATGTTGTTCATTCGTTGCCCTGCTTCCTGATTTGCCTGATATTAATCTCAGACCGTCTCTATGGGCATCACAATGGACGATATTGGAGGGCCGTGATTGTTGTTATTGGGAGGGTTTCTGATTGGGATTTGCCTTGGTCAGATCCCGGTAGGACCTCGATGTACACAATGTAATATCATTTTATATGGGTGTATTGACAAAAAACTATTTGAGAAGGAAATAACATGCTACATTGTTTATCTGTTAACACATTTGGAGATCAACAAATACATTACATACAAATAAGCAGAAGCTCTGTTTTGAAGCAGAGTATGAAACAATGAGCTTGAAGATAGTCGCATCTCTGTTAAATGAATGAAAGAAAGAAAATGGCCTCATGTTTCCTTGTCCAGGCGTAATTCCAGGCACCACCTCTTGAACCCAACATATATACCCCATGTGCTACTCCCCTCATCACCAACTGATTTTGAGGTGGAACCAGTAGACCTATATTTGGGTCTTCAAGATGGTATCAGAGCGGATTTTAATCCGCAGACCTGTGGGACTTGTGGAGCGAGGTAGACTGACCCAGATTAGGTCTTGAAACTTTGATCAACCCACGGAACTCATCCGGGGTTTGACTTTAAACTTTTACTTGCCCGGCAAGCGACGGTTTATCCGAAAAAATAACCGATCGCAAAACTGAAAAAAAAAATCATGAAAAAATATATAAAATTATCCGTCCAAGCCCATTGGGCTTGAGAGGAGCGTGTTGAATGAATGAAAGAAAGAAAATAGCCTCATGTTCCCTTGTCCCATATGGATGGAAGGAAACACTTGAGCCTAACATATATGCCACATGTGCTACTTCCCTCATCACCAATTAGTTTTGATGTGGAACCACATGTGGGCCCATATCTGAGTTTTTAAGAATCTCAAAATCCAGTACAATGAGAAAGAGGGATATCTTCAAGATCAGGCGCACATGAGGATAGACCATCTATTCCCTCATTGATAGCAAGGCTAGAGTCTTCTACAAACACAGCACCCAATATTCCAAATATATTAAAGCTCAGAAAGGCTACCGGCTACCGCTAAATCAGAGCCCCGAAACAATCATTAAAAACCAAGCGTCTTGCTGCAAAATTACTAGGAGCTTGGAAGGGCATTGCAACATCTATCAGCTAGGAGGAGTCCAGATTTTGCGCCTGAGAAAGTCCGGAGTTGTGTTGGAGGGGCAGATTATTATGTGCTAAAGTTGTCATGAGAGAGATTAGTAATTGATAGATAGTTGGCAGATTTCACAGATTTTTTATTGACTTGTAAAAGTGCAAAATCCGACAGTCATTTCCTTCAACTTTGAGGAAAGGACACAGATTGAATGGCACCAACATTTTCCAAGGAATAAAAAGGGTTCCGCAATTGTTCTCTGTTTCATCAATAAGTCAGTCAGACACCATTGCAGATTCCGGGAAGTCCTCAGTGAGGACTTTGGAGAAATATGAGTACTAATATGATTATGCTAAGATGAGTCAAAATGATCGGGATGAAGGTTAATACATAAATGTGTAAAGATGAAACGCTACTTTATTGTGTTGGATGGTGTTTGGGACGTTGTTACACTACTTGATCTAGGAATGCATATAGAAACAAACTGTTGTACATTGTATATGAATTTTGCACCTTAATTATAAGCCTTTTAAACTAAAACTTGATTAATTATAACT